CTCTTCTCCTGAGGAGTCCTCGCTATTGCTGAGCCCTGGCTGACCCATGATACCGTGATTTGTTTTGCCAACAATGAAATCTTATTTCATTGGTTTTAGAAGGCCAGGGGTTGTTAATTCTGTTTTCTGTCTTTGTCAACTATTGCAGTTTTAAGAATTCATTCCTCTAGGACAAGCTTATGGTTGTCTTTGTCTGTGGGCAGATGATTAATTAAAATTGTCCATCTCATAGGAGAAAGGCTTGATGTCTCTGAGGCAAGTTAGCATAGTTTGATTGGCAGGAACAGTAAAAACGCATGGTCCTATGTGTGTGTCTCCGCTGTGTGATTTGTATGTAAGGGATGCAGTGTTTAAGCAAAGGCACTCTTCATTTGTTGAAAATTTTGTTTAGTTGTCATCCGGTGTAATGTATGGATGTCAATCACTCTGATATTATGGACTTAATTATGTACTTAACACTGTGCCAGGGCTGGCAGTACCATTTCATTTGAGCCTGGCGGAAGAAAAGCGGGGACTAAGAAGGTAAACAAGGTCCTTGCGGGAAGTACATGAGCCCTTAAGTCTGAGAAGTGAGCCAGGCCAGAATGTAGTGTTTTCTTTATGGGCCAGGTGAAGTCCAATGGGTCCCTTCTGTCACTTGATTGCTGAGTCAGTGGACCACAGTACCTCCTACTGACCATCTGAAATAAAGGTGCCCAAGTACATTCTGTCGCCTGATCAGCTGCCATAGTGAAACAGAGAGTGAGATATAGCTGGCAGAGTCCCTGGTTTGTGCCATATTTCTGTGTCCTCTTATTCTGTTAAGGACACTTTTCTTCAATTTAGACCCATGATGAATTACTGCAGAATGGGGATGTAATAAATGAGAATACCCCACCCCCGAAGAAACTGTAACCTGCTAGAAGTTGGAGGGGGCCTCTTCTTTTTGTTTTCTTTTCTAGTTCTCTCAGCTGCTCCCAACCTTCCAAAGGCAATGGGCATGCTCAGTCCTCATTGGACCATTTGAAGAGGATCATTTTGAATTTACAGAATAATATTTTTCTGCATATCAGCTCCAGCTGGTTCACCAGCTAAAGCAGTTCCTCAGAAATCATGATCTTACCACAGTGATCCATTTTCTGATCGCATCCTTTGTAGATTACTGTAGTGTAATGTGCTCTATGTGGGGCTGCCTTTGAAAATGATTTGGAAAATTCATTTGGTCCAAAATATAGCAGCCAGGCTGCCAGGGATTGGTTACAGGGATTGTATTGCTCCTGTGCTGAAAGATCTGCACTAGCTACCCATCTGTTTCCAGGCACAATTTGAAGTGCTGGTTGTTAACTCTAAGTCCCTAAATAGCTAGGGGCCAGGGTACCTAAAGGACAGTCTCCTTCCATACTATTTAGCCTGCCAGTTAACATCTGCCTCTCAGGCCCTGCTCTCTGTGTCCCAACATTCTGAGGTGAGATGAGTCAGGTAGGGACTAGAGATGGGGCATTTTCTGTAATAGTACTTTGCCTTGGGAATGCCCCCTCTTCTATGGTTGCCAACCTCCAGGGGGGGGGCTGGAGACCTCCCGCTTTTACAGCTGATCTCCAGCTGACAGAGATCAGCTCCCCTGGAGAAAATGGCTGCTTTGAAGGGTTGACGCTGTGTCAGGGGTGGCCAAACTTGCTTCATGTAAGAGCCACATAGAATAAATGTCAGATGTTTGAGAGCCACAAGACATGAACAAATACCACACAAACGGTTTTATTGGAAAATATGCAAATTTGCTTTTTATTAACATTAAATGAGACTGCCAAAAAGAAAAAAACTAAAAGGGGTAAAAGCAGATATTGATAATTATAATTATTTATCAAATAATATTTATTTGTCTAAGAGAGAGAGGCCGAAAGAATGAAAGAGGTGGAAGGAAAGAGAGAAAAGATAGAGAAACAAAGAAAGTAAATAAGAACATAAGAACATAAGAGACGCCAATGTTGGATCAGGCCAAAGGCCCATCCAGTCCAACACTCTGTATCACACAGTGGCCAGAATATCACAATCAGTAAGAAATCTACCTAAGCTTACCCCTGTACCTTTACCTAGCACAAAAGCAGGGGCAAATTGATCATGTCGTGGTGCTGGATGAAAAGTACTGGGATCATTCGGACTGATTTTGCTGACATATTTTCTAAAAAGAATATGTCATGTCATATGACCTGAAGATTAATGTCTAACAGTAGCAAAGTAGCATTCACAAAGGGATATTAGACGTCCCACCAATGCAATAATATTACCTTGATAGGTCATGGGGAAATAATAACCCTCCTTTCTATTCATAATATGAACAAGGGTTTGCTGCTATACTACTATTAAGTATGTTCTAAGGTGCCAACCAGGATAGGGGTGAAACTAAGACTGAGAAATAAAGCAGGGGGAAATGAATAGGGTTGCCAACCTCCACGTGGGGCCTGGGGGATCTCCCGCTGTTGCAATGGATCTCCAGCTGACAGAGATCAGCTCCCCTGGAGAAAATGGCTGCTTTGTAGGGTGGGCTCCGTGGCATTGAGCCATACTAAGGCCCCTCCCCTCCCCTCCCCAAACCCCACCTTCTCCCAGATCCACCCTCAAAGTCTCCAAGTATTTTCTAACCCAGACCTGGCAACCCTACCCTCTTGAGGCTCACATGAGTCTTCCTTTACTTCCTTTTAGGTGCCTGGCTAAAACACATCCTTTTATGCAGGCTTTTAATTAGGGGTTTTTAACTTAACGGCTTTTCAATGGCCTGCTTCTGTTTTATGGATAATTTTTTATTTATGCTGATCTGTTTTAATACTCTGGTTTCTTATTGTAAGCCACCACGAGCAGTACTCCGAAGAGGCGGCACAGAAATAGTCCAAATAAATAAGAACCTTACCAACAACTCCAGCAAAAGGTTTCTCCCTAGGAGCATCTCTGTTTGCTGCAGCTCTTGATCCAGCCACCCATCTGAAAGCCAAACTGCCTGTTGGTTTCTCTCTCAACAGTTTGCGGGTGCCTTTTCCAGCCTTGTTCTTATTTTCTTTTCTTTGCTTCTTCTAGAATACTGAACAAAGCCAGTCACAAATGCCCAAGGAAACGGTAAGAGCTTTGCCTTTGACGTGTCAAGAACAGTCTGAGACAATTCTTTTTTTAAAGAAATATATATATGTATTAATAATGTCGGAGCACTCCATCGATGGGAGGTTCTGCAGGCAACTCCATTCACTGTATATGCTGTAGGTGGCTCTCTCCAGCCTTACATTGCATTGCATTTCATTTGTCACACTCAGCTCATATGCAATTCACTATCTGCAAGGAACGGTAATTTGTGTCTCTAACTGGGGCACACACAAACAAACAAATTGATTTGAAGGCAGGAAAAAAAATAAGGTCTTCAGTTACTAAAGCCTGAGAAAGTTTTAATGCTTGAATCTGAAACAAAAGCCGGTTTCTCCGGTATAAGCTGACACCGTAGCTCCTTGCTCCTGCTGGAACTGTCATTCCTTGCCGTAACCTATTTTTAAAGCAGCTGCAATGTAATTTAAGGATGGCATATCAGATTTACTTTGGAGTGGGATGGAGCAGGTCTGCATAAAGGGGCAGTGCAGAGCTTTTTGGAGCATCCTTTGAATGGTCCTGATAAAGATATCAGATATACGCAGCTAAAAAAAAGTAGGCTGGTTATTTTTCCTTTTAGAAGTGAATCTTCATCTGAATAACCATTGCACAACACAATCCTGTTTACTTTTCATTACATCTTTCGTAACGTCTTCACCTCTGGAAGAATAATGGATAAAAATAGCGAGGGGAGTGCTTTAACTGAAAATAACAGCTAAAGCAGGAAGTGGGGATTTTCAGGCTTGTCCAGCAATATTGCTTTTATGTCAGGTTTTCAAGTAATGGTCCTCAATAGGGTGCCCATGGATGGACACTGGGGTATCAAGTAATGTGTTTCTTGGCAACCACTAACTGCTTCCCATCTCTTCCCTAAAGCTAATGTTGACTTTTCTGAACTTCATTAGAGTAGGGAGTGCTTCAGAAGAGCTCCCAAGGCATTCCCTCTGAGTCTGCAGGAGGTACCAGTTTGTAAACAGCTGGCTTCCATTGTGAAATCTTGCAAAATTTTATGGTTGAACCCAGCGTCCCCCATGGCAGCCATTTGTATTGTGGCACTCAATATCTGTTCTTCCGAAACATCTTCCCTTAAAACAATGACCTTCAGCGTGTGCGTTGGGAACCTCAGGTAGGCTCAATCAGTCCCACTTGGTTTGTGACACTGTACAGAGCCACACTTTTCTTTTTGCTGCTGCTGCTGCTGCTTCTTGGAAGAGAAGAGAACCAGTTTTGGTGTAGTGGTTAAGAGTCTTCTTGGAAGAGAAGAGAGCCAGTTTTCGTGTAGTGGTTAAGAGCAGCACTCTAATCTGGGAGAACCGGCTTTGATTCCCCACTGTTCCACATGAAGCCAGCTGGGTAACCTTGGGTCAGTCACAGTTCTCTCAAGAGCAGTTCTCTCAGAGCTCTCTCAGCCCCACCTACCTTACAGGGTGTCTGTTGTGGGGAGAGGAAGGGAAGGAGATTGTAAGCTGCTCTGAGACTCTGAGTGAAGGGCAGGGTATAAATCCAACTCCTCCTCCTCCTTCCAGCACAGAATCCCCCTCCCCATGTGAGGTCATAACTTTTTCTTCCCTTCTTCCTCTCATGTAACTTGGATGTTACATGACTTCCTGTCATGTGTTTTCAACTCAGTGGGTCCCATGCTGCTACCAGGGAGTTAAAGGGGGGGGGGGGTCCTGGGTCTAGGAAGGTTGAAGATTACTCTCCTAAGGGACATCTCTCACACCAGGACCCCTTTAAGGTAGACTTAATGCAAAGATAGCTGGTGGGGTTCCAGCTGAGATTTATTTGCAGCATGTGGGAAGAGTAATACACGGTATGTAGACAGCCCTGATCAGAATCCTCTTCCCTGAGTAAAATGTGTAATCCCATAAGGGATTACATGTTCAAAGGCCTTTTGCATGGCTATGAATTTCATAGTATTCCTTTGTATTAAAAATTTGATTATGTTTCCATTTTGAGCCAGGCTTCTTTAAAATTGTTCAGAAATCAACCGTTCTTTCATTGTGACATAGAGGAGTGTGCAGAGGTATGTTAGCGTGAATGTTAGCGGAGGAGAGGAATCGGGTGGCATGTGTTTCCTTCAACTTTTCTGCATTTCAGAATTTCATCAGCAGAAAATCAATAGCACGGGCTTGTCTGTAGTATTTTGCGTGTTGACTTTGACTGCCTTTTCCCCTCTGTGCCTGGTTCTGCATCATTCCCCATTTAGTTCTCCTCTCTCTAGTTGTCAGACGCTTCAGTTTCTTGCTCCTGCTGCTCCTGTGTTTTTGTTTTTGTTTTTTTGCACTACTTCTGGTCTCTGTTGTGCTGTTGTTTTGTGAGTTCAGTGAGTTTGGCTGTCATGGGGCTGACAGTGGAAGAAAGCAAAGTGGGAAGAGTAGTGATAAGAGCTCAGGGAGAATAATGGGAGGCGGGTGAAGTTGAGAAAACAAAATTAGGATCTCTAGACTTGAAACAGCAAATGGTTAGAGACTGAGGTGAAACTGCCTGTTCAGGAGGATTCTGCCTTACCAGTTAGAGAAAGGAACCAGTCCCCAAGCAAGCTAGCTGTGAATTCCTCCCCATCCCCAGTACAATCAATGCCCAGTTAGTATTATTTGATGTGTCAGGTTTAGATGCATTTCTTCCTGCAAAGTGCTTCCGATCCAGGGATACTGCATTTTCTCAGCATTCTAACAGCAATATGGCTTATTTATTAAAATATTTTTGCCCCTGTCTTTCCGCACATGTCTGGGACCCTCAAGGTAGCTAACGCTCCACCATAAAGCAGTAAAATGCCAGCAGCATAGAAGTAAAATAAAAAGTAACTTTACAACATCAATCAAACGTGAAAACAGCAATCTTTTTTTAAAAAAAATAAAGAAGATCAACAGCAGCATATTTATTTATTTAAAATATTTATATGCCCTTCTTTCTCCCAGGCATCCCCCAATCCAAGGCTGGTTAACAATAATATAAAACAATTTGATAAAACAAACATTAAAATGCCACATTGAGAGCAACATGCTACCCTAATAGCCAGGTATGGAAAACATATGAAAAACTTAGATGCCATTAATGGCTACTTAGGCCAACAGCAGGATGAGAAGGCGTTGTCACTAAAGAGGGAGCTGATTGAACCTCCCAGCATGGAGAATTCCAAAGACTGGGTGTCACTACTAAAAAGGCCCTAACTTTGATTCCTGTCCAGTGTGATGGGACACAAAGCAGGAATTTTTTGACAACTTGAACACTGATGTGTTGGCATGCCAGCTATGTTAGTGCATTGTGTGGAATGTGATTGCATATGTATTATGGGCAAAAAACAGGATAGTGCCTGTAACATCACTTTAATGAGCAGTGCAGGCCTGTTATAGTATCGTTTTCCGATTGCTTGAATCACAAGGACCACTGGTTGAAGGCGGGAACTTTAAACTCTTTTTACCAACCAGGACATTTCTGGTCCTGGGAATCAGATGATCACAGACAGCCAACCCCCCCTCCCTCTCAATCTAACCTCCATCATGGGGTTGCTGTGAGGGCAACATGGAGGAGGGGAAGAATCACATTTGTTACTCTGAACTCTGTGGAGGAAGGGTGGGATAAAAAATTTTTAGGTAGAAGGATATTAGCATATTCTAGGAAAGCATAGCCAGCACCTTCCGGCTTTGACGTCTAGTCAGCTTCATGATCCCCATATGGCAGTTCTGAATTCTCTGTTTTATGAATCCCTACCCTAAATGGAGCAGATGCACCTTCTGCTAAGTGTGGTGATTATTTTGATATGAAAGAGATTGACTGAGGAATGAAAACCGGTAATTTGTCATTACATTCCTGTTTCTGAGGATAATTATCTTAATCTTGTTACTTTGCATAGAAATAAATTGTTAATTATGATAGGAGAAACATCTGCTAATTAACCTTTGCCCTTCTCCTCAAAAGTCAATAGAACTAGGCTGGTATTGTGCGTTTTGAATGATATTCCCTCCCTCTGTTTGTTTTTTCTTATCCCAATACTGTTTGTGACCCCGCATAGCAGTTCCACCTGAAGGGATTTGCACTGTTTGTCCCCCCACCCCGCTTGGATTCTTTGATAGGAAGAATGTGGGAATATGTGACCACTTTTTTTAAAAAAATGAAAGCAATGCAACAGAAGAAATAGGTTACCAACAACAACAGGAATAGATTAACAACAACAGCAGCAACATTTCTGTGCTGCCATTTCACCCAAGTAGGGTCCCCAAATTAGGGAACCAGGCTGAGATGTTTTTCCAAGGATGTAGGTGTGACTTTCAGAGAACCTGATATCCCCCTGCTCTCCTTATATTTATTCCTAAGCCATCCTGTTGTGTTCTCATTGCTACCATTGTGTAGTTTACACAGTGTGTAGTTCAGTGGTAGATTGTGTCTTCACTGTTGTTTGCACAATGAAGCTGCTTCTTCTCTAGAGGGGCACCAAAAGAGGACAAAGTGATAAGAAGTTTCTTTGTGTTAGTGTCCCCCAAACCAGATAAAGCCCACTCCTTCTCCCCTTCGTATAGCAGGCTTCACCTGCCTTTGCCCCAAACGTGTTTCAGTACTCTGAGACTTGGAAGATTAAGTCCTTCCTTTAGTATCTGCTGATCCTGTCATCAGAGCGAGAGAGTCCAACTCTATCCTCACCCTTTCGTCTCTGTCTGAACAGGTTATCTTTGGGCCAGTCATTCTCAGCCTAACCTACTTCATGGGGTTTTTGTGAGGAGAGAATGATATAAGCTGGTTTGGGTCTCTACTTGGAAGGAAGGTAGTAAATAAATATATACACCTTTTGCTTTAATATTTGTTATAAGTTAAAACTGTGCTGGAAGAAAGGTAGGGCTAGACAAAAATTACAAATAAGTAAGGGAAAGTGGCACACTTCAGGGTGTGGGATCCAGTGTAACTTAAACCACTGTTTTTTATTCTGTCCTTTAGGGAAGCCAGAGGTTTCTTCAGCACTTAGTAGGGCCTTTTCAGTAAGTAAA